CCGTCGTTGGCGTCGAGTGGCCTGCCCAGGCAGCCTACGGTGTGACGGTGACGAAGTTCCCTCCAGGCGTGCTGTGCTGCAGGGGGCCGCGAGCTTGCTCCACCGTCAGAGTTCGAGTGCGAGTCCTGGTTCCAAAAACCCTACACGCTGGGCTAAAAGAGAGACGGCGCGTGGGGGACGGTCCTAGTGCACGAGTTCTCCCAGGGGAAGCTGCCTGGATGGAGCTCAGGGAACGGCGGTGTCCGCCCCATGGACCGCAAGGTGACGCTGCTGTTGATCTGAAAACCCGCGTCTGCTGCCCAGTGCTGCTTGGGGGCTGCTTCAGTCCTGGAGCCGTGACCCTCGGGCTCTCATCGTTCAGGGCGCAGCCAGATCGGCATGTGGTGGGTTAGAGCCCTGGGCACCCTTGCCTGGCTTGGGCAGTTCACAGAGCGAAGGGCCAGTTTCACTTAGCACGTTTACACTTCACCGCAGCCCGTGGGTTCCCAGGGGCTCGTGTTGTTCCTGACATGCAGAATGATCTGTGAAAGTCAGGACAGACTCAACATTTTTTTAGTGGCCCTAGAGTTATCCTTCACGCTTGAAACGTACCCTCACTTTGCCAGATATTGAGAGTTGCCACGAGTCAAGTTAGACCCCTGTGGGCTTCTGGCCTTGAAGTGTATAAATGCTTAGTTGTGTGAAAGTGGAGTTCGGATTCTCCAGGCTGCTTTGCCAAGGTTAGGACGGGACCTGTTTTGCTCGCTGGCCTTAGACGCCCGCATCTTAGACCGAATTAGTGGAGCGGGCGTCTCCTTTGCTCTGGGCCCAGCCAGACGCAGGAGGGAGGTGACTCTTAGAGGTGGCTTCACATTGTAAAATGCCATAGATATTCTCGTGCTTCATTGTCGTGTGTGCTCGTGTGTCTCTGCTCTCGCACTCAGCTCTGTGAGTCCTGTGAGAAAAGGTGTGACTGTAACCTTGGGGACAGCTTGGTAAATGACAGAGAGGGTTTTCGCGTTGTTTTTTTAAAGTCGTTTGACTTAATTGGGAGATTACTTAAAACACAATGTTTTATACTAAGACTGTCGCTTTGGAAAGTATTAGAACGCCTCAGACGTACTATACCAAGAAATTTGATGGCTGCTTATTAAGGAAGCAGTGTTGGACGGTCATGCAGTTTCAGAAGCTTTTAGAGCTGCACAGGAGCTGCGAAGGCATCTTTCCAGAACTTCCCTTCGTCTGCAGACGTGAAAACTGGGCGCCAGGGGGACTTATCACCACACAGCCGGGGTGTGCCCGTGGTTGGACGGGCTGGAGGCGGTGTCTTCTGCGCTCTAGGCCAGGCCGTGCTCCGCAGAGCCCGTTGCCCCCCACGCCTCGATTTTCCGTCGCCGTGTGGCGGTGCCTGCGCCAGGCCTGTGCTCACCGTGTTGGCCGTGTGGCTGCGTGCACTTGGGGGTCCGTATTTCACTAGATGTGCCACCTATTTTTCTCTAAATGCTTTTTTTCTAATTTAAGAACTAAACTTTAAATAGAATGACGTGCAGACTGGGAAATGGTGGCGTCAGGGGGATCGTAACATTCTTGTCTGTAGCTGCTTCTGAGATTTCAAACGCGTATGTATGTGATATGTCCGTTTTTTACAAATCATTGTCTTTATATACGATTACTTGTGTGTGTAAGTATAATATCATTCTGGGTAACGTCCATGTCTTTGAAATGTCTTTTGTTTGAAGCGAGCCAGGCTTTGGTTATCTACTCTTAAACGTCAGGGCAGTAATGATTGATCCTCCAGGTTCGCGTTTATGCTTTAATCACGATCAAGGCTTTCTCTTGCTTTTCTTTAACGCATTTGTCTGACCTAGGACGTCAATTTTATTTTATGTATGTTATCTGTCATATCCACATTATGTTTGTCATTTTGCAATATTTGCATTCTCTTGCTACTTACAATATACGACAACTCTTACAAGAACCAGGTTGTTTCCCCCCCAAGCACCATAACGGGATAAAGCTTTCCTGTTATTATAGAAGGAATTTTAGGACGTTTTAAGGACATTTTTAGTTTGTTTTTGAAGCACATTAATTAACTGAAACCACTCATGCCTTTTTTTGAGATTCGTAATTTCCTTAAAAAAAACACTAAAGCATCGATAGTCTAGTAGAAGTGACATAATAAAGTTAAGACCTTAGGACTTTTACATGTGTTTGATTTATCCTTGATTTTTCTCTTCAAAGATTGAGAGCTTATAATTAGCCTAACTTTTTAACAGAACTTTACGTTTGTAAAATTATTAGAGGTAAAAAATGAAGCACCTAAGAAATGAGGCCTGTTATTTTTACTTCCTTCAATAAGGAAAAGCTGGGACACCCCGTTGCACAGGGCTCAGAAGCCTCTGGGCCGTGTTCCAAAGCCATGCGCCTGGACGGCGGCCCGGGACTTTGGTTCCATGTCGGGACACGTAGGGAACGGTGTGCGTGTGCTAGGTTGTTCACGGCAGCGTGGTGGCCGTGTGGTCAGGAGCAGTGGAACTGCCCGCCACAGTGTCTGAAGTGGCCTGGGTACGGGGACGTCCCGGGAGGGCGGGAGAGCATCAGGGGCGCTGACGTGGAAAGGTGTTGAGTGTCCAGACGGGTGACAGACAGGTGAGAAGTGTGTGGGGCTGACCCGCTCATGTCCGTGCACAGACTATTCCTTCCGGTTTTCTCTGAACAGCATCACCGTGCAGGTTCTCTGTTTATGTGATCCGCATCGTTTCAGAAGGGACCAAGGGACGTGCAGGCCGAGCATGGCTTGGCAGGGGATCGGATGAACGGGGTGGGCTCACGGGGTGCAGGCAGGGCGGGAAGGAGGTGAGGACAGGCTGGAGACGGGGTCGGGCCAGTGTGCGAGGCTCGGGCTCATCTGCCCGGAAGAGTGGGCCCTCAGGACAGAGAGCGAGAGCTCCAGGAGCAGTGTGGCTGGAGACGTTCTGACAGGGAAAAGAAGCGGCCTCGGCGTTTCCTGATGTTTGTAACGGAGCATCTGTTTACCACGGAACGCAGGTTCCGGAAGCCCCAGGAGGAGGAGCTGGGAGGAGGACAGTGGGGGCTGGGGGTATTGCAGAGGCAGGTGGTGAGAGGGGAACCGGCACCCGGGTGGGGGTGACGTCCCTGGGCCTTACGGGGTCCAGCGCTGCGGGGCCTGGTGCAGACGGCCAGGCCGCAGTCTCTACGTACACTGCGGTCGGGCCGCCTCAGCCGAGGCGATGTGTGGGGCTGGCGGGGCTGGCGGGACTGGCCTCCCTGCCATGTGAGGTCCAGTGCGGCCTGGGGGAGTCCCAGGCCTGGCTGCCGCTGCACAGCCACCCACGGAGCCATCCCTGAAGTTGGTGTATGGTCACAGGACTTGGGCAGGTGCGCCTGGCGCCCTCGTGGGATCGGGCGGCTTCTGGTCTGGCGGTTGGTGAGCTTCGAGCACCCCCGCACCCCGGGCCCCTTACGACAAGCATTCCTTTGTGGTGTGGGACGTGGCAAGAGCAGTACTGTCTTTTCTGACTTGCGAAGTGCCTTGTTTCCCCATGAAACAGAAGACAGCCATGCGAAGGCTTTCGCTTTCTAAAAGTTGTCTTGTGAATTTTGTTTCACGTCCGTCCGTGGATTTCTGGAATTCATATAACTAATTGCTGAACATCATTTCAGTTTCCTATGTTTCTCCTTCTGTTGCTTTTTCATGCGTAGCTTGTCTGATAAAGCAGATAAATTTCTCGCATCAGTTTATTTATACATTTCATTTTAGTTGTGAAAGGAGAGTTTTTAAATTTTTGAAATTAGTTTTTCCTTAGAAATCATTTTTCCATTTAGTTCAGTAGGGAGCAGCCGCGCGGCTTATCGGGTTGTTTGGATTTCACAATTTTAATTAAGTGGCACTTTTGTGTTAACCATTGTTGAACCTATTTGCATAAAATGTCAAGCAGTCAAGTAACTAAACTGCCGACGTTGCCGTGGTGCGTCCCCGGGGCCTCTGCAGTGAGCCTTCCCGTTTTGGTTTCAGAAGCTCAGAGGCATCACTCTTTTAGTTGCCATTTTGGAGAGTCTTCACGTTCAGTGTCTGTTCTCGTCAGAGAATGTCGTGTGACTCCCCAGGCTCAGCGATGTCCACTGCAGGGTGACCGTGAGCCCAGGTTCCAGACACCTTCATCCCTGGTGTTCCAGACACTGAGAGCAGGTCATTCATTTATTCCGTCATACTTGCGTGTCCTGCTTGGCAGGTGCTGTGCTGGCTCAGGCCTGTCTGTGACCAGGGGACAGTTCCCAGTCTCAAGAAGCTGTACCAGCGGGGTGGGTGGAGGAGACGAGAGATCAAGCAGTGACAGGTCTGAAACAGAAGTGAGTCGCCGAGCGGTGATGTGAGGGCGCATTGTTCAGGAACAGTGAGCGCGCGAGGACGCGGAGGGACGTGGGGACGCTGCTCGCACGGGCGGGGGAGACGCAGATGCAGTGCGCGCGAGCCGGCTGGGCGGCCGTGCCTGGGTTCCTGGGACGGGCCGCTGCGGGCCTTTGAGCCGGTTGCTGTCAGGGCCACAGCCTGCTTTAGCCCAGTGCTTTTCTGTGGGTGATACGAGGAGGCAGAGCGGGACAGTCACTGGGGGCTGGCGGCGCCCAGGTGCCTGTCACAGAGCCACGCGGGAGAGAGCATGGGTTCCGGACCGCCCCTTCCACGCCATGCGCTCTGAGCTCCGCCACGTCACTGTCTCCATCAGATTCAGTACGGTGTCAGGCAGGCGGCGGGCGGACTCGGGGTGTGTGCTGCGTGGCTCACACGCACGTCACAGGGAGCGCTGTGGTTCTCTTTGGAAGATGAGCGCGCTTCCGAAGTGAGCAGCAGGAAGGGCCGGTTGGCCGGCTGCCTTCAGCCCCGCGCAGGAGCGCGACTTCGCAGAGCTGTCGCGTTCTCGCCACCTCGGCAGTTTTCCCTCCCTCGTTGGAGGTCGGTGGCCACGGAAATAGGATTTAGGGAGCAAGTGTAGGAGACGTTGGAGAGCTGCGGTCCCCAGGACTGGCACATGGGAGGGTCGAGGGGTGGGGAAGCGGCTTCTCAGAGGTTCCGAAACGCCCGTCCCTGGCCCGGCCCGGGAGAGTGGTGCTTCTGCGGAGGACAAAGTCGCTTTAGGCAGAGACTTGGCTCCAACCTGGACTGTGAGAGAAATCAGGGAAATGGTGCCCGCTAGTAGTCTTCTGCACGGAAGTGCAAGCGGCACAGATCCAGTGGCAGAATGTGGGTGGGTCCCGACTCTCAGCAGGTGACTGCATTGTCCCGGGGTGGGGGGATCCGCCAGGGTGGATGGACACGGTCTCCGTGACGTTCCAGGCAAATGCCAAGTCATCCGGACGGTTCGCCTGCACAGCTGTCCGGATTGCATGGGCAGCTCGGTCGCTTGGTCAAGACGTGTTTGCTCCATGGCCAGCCTAACAATTCTTTATTTATTGAAACGTACACGTAAAACCTGAATCATTCAAGTTATTTAAGTTGTTTAAGTTAATAACTTTGCTATTTGCAGATATCCCTTTAATACAGTTTCTGTGGAAACACTTTCTTGGATAGAAAGGTCACACTGGAGTTGTTTCTGTTTTTAGTTTATTATGGGGCCTGGTATACAGTCTCCATACGGACTCAGTACGAGACTCGAAATCCCAGTTAACCTAAATTTTGGATAAAGTAAATTCCATGCCAACAAATCCTCATAGAAAAAGTAAATGTACAAATCCGTTAAAAATTGGTTCTAGAACCAAGGGAAGTAACTGACTGTGTAGGTATTCCTCACGTTGAGAAAACCGTATCAACTTTATAAGTGTTTCCCAGCAGGTGTTCTCTAAGAGCCTGTTCTCAGCGCACTTGAAACAGCATCTAGTTGCCACGTTGGAATCTGTACTTCAGCTCCTCAGAATTTTCATCCTCCGCGTGCGACAGTGCCTTTTGACACTCACCTTCTCAGCGGCACTGACGGTGAATTATTCCTGCTTTTATTCCGGTTTGTAGGCCTCATCCAGCCCATTCCAAGGAACCAGTTTCTTCAGAGCTACTTTAATAGCAATCTTGTGAACGAAGCAGACAGACCCTACAAGTGCTTTTACTGTCACCGCGCGTACAAAAAGTCTTGCCACCTGAAACAGCACATCAGGTAAGGCTGCAGGCACGCAGGTGTGGGGTCTAGTGCAGGTACAGTGATCGCTCATCTGATGGCTGTGGGGCTCTAGCGGGTGGTAGAGTTAGCCTTCGGTATTTAAAGTGTCACCTCTGACTCCCAAAGTATTTATTGTTAACTTTTATTTTTATTCCTTGGTATCTTGACTCAAATATTTTACCCAGAAATTGGCACCGAATTTTATTTACACTTCTATCTGTTATAATTCAGTATTTGCAATTTCTAGGACATAGCAAAGTATTTGGTTTGTTTCGTTGGAGTTATGTCCTCTAACAGTTTTTCAGGTCTGTTTATCAGGGTTTAGGTTAATTCTTGGTGCTGGCGACAGTGGAAAGAGGAAGTAGAAGCTTGACCGTGAGGGACGGCGCCATGCCATGAGACAGGGTAGGACGTGGAGAAGCCAGGGGCTCGGCCCCGCCTCGGCTGCCTCGCGGCTCTGTGACTCCAGGCGGGTCATTCGGGCACCGTGCGTCTCAGTGGTCTCGTCGGTAGCGTGTGGAGAGCCGCGTCTCTGCTTTCTAGCTTAGTGGCCGTGGCAGCGACGCACGAGCGTGCATTCTGAATTGGAAGATGGTGACAGAGCCCGAAGCTGCTCCTGCATTAAAGCGTTTGTTCTTTTCAGGTCGCACACAGGCGAGAAGCCTTTCAAATGTTCTCAGTGTGGACGAGGCTTCGTATCCGCAGGAGTGCTCAAGGCACACGTCCGAACGCACACCGGCCTCAAGTCGTTCAAGTGTCTGGTCTGTAACGGGGCTTTCACCACTGGCGGGAGCCTGCGGCGGCACATGGGCACCCACAATGACCTCCGTCCCTACATGTGTCCCTACTGCCAGAAGACATTTAAGACCTCGCTGAGCTGCAGAAAGCACATGAAAACCCACAGGTAGGAGCCGTCCTGACGGCCACTGGGCAGTAGGTAGGCCTATGACGCCCACGTGGCGAGTGGGGGGTGGCGTTCTCAGGAGACGGCCGTCTCTGCTTCCTCTTTGATTCCTTCTGGCTCGAGGTGTGCGGGCTGAAGAAACTTGGGTGCCGTGTCCGAGGACCTGTCGAGAACCGCTGACTCTTTGTTTTTGTTTTTATTTTGGATGTGACACTGCAGTGGTCTCTGGGGGCCGGATGTTTTGTGGGCTCTCTTTTGAAACCGATAGTCAACAACAGGTGAAGTGCTGGACGGTGTGCAGTATCATCGGGTGGTGAAGATTTCAAGAAAGAAAGTCGACCCTGTGGTTTCTAGACATGTCACTGGTGTGTCCGGACGGTGGTTATTCTCTGTAGCCCACGTGAAAAGAGCGTACATTTGAGCTGTCACAGAAATCCACTGTTAAGACCGACGGACACTTTTCCTTGACTAGAGGGCCCTCGTCCCTACACAGCCTGGCAGACACGCATTTCTGATGCCATCTGGAGCTCGTGCAGCGGGGAGCTCTCTGAAGCCGCAGAGCTGTGTGTTGTGAGGCAAACCTGCGGGACGGTAGGGTGACCCGTCCTCAGAGACGTTGAAAATTAGAGTCCCTGGGTCTACCCTAAAGAGTGTGACACCTCTGCCCGGGAACATTTGTCTTCGCACGGCACTTTAACCCAGGTGTCTGCCCGGATCCACCTCCCAGACGAAGCCCCAGCTGTTAGAGTGAGGTCACCGTGAGGAACAGCTGTCTTGGTGGCACCCTCCTGGTGCCTGGGCACACTTGGTAGAGCCGACTCCTGGGCTTGGGCACAGGCGACTCCCTGGCCCGGAAGTGTACCACTGTGGAGCCATCTCGGGAAGGGTGCTGGCAGTGTCCCCGCTCTGTGTCTAGTGTCCCTTCACTGTGTTTCGTGGAGGGTTACGCGCCCCGTGTGCATTCGGGAGCTGGGGACGTCTTGGGCGCACAGATGCTCGGGGTGCTGTGTCCCTGCTCGCTGGAGGAGGTACCCGAGAGCAGTCCCGTGCTGGGCGTGGGACTCGGCACCGTCTCGTTTGGTGCCATGGTCCGTGCCATCCTTCTCCGTCGTGAGGCCAGGCCTTGACAGTGCAGGCTTCGTGGTCGTGGGGGGGTCAGGCCCTGTTTGTGCAGCGAGTGGCAGGTGGTCTGACTCTGGGAGGCAGTTCGCTGCTTTTGGCTGGGTCCCCTCTGTGTGGTGCAGTGTTGCATTGGCCACCACTTGTCGCGGTCAGGGACGGGCGCCCGGTTACTTTAGGAGGTGACTCGTGACTCTGAGGTGACAGTCCAACGACCGGGAGGTCTGTGTATCGCAGAGCTGGGGCTTCTCAGACTGACCCTATGTGCCAGACGGGGCAGCTCTGGGGTCCCCCCGCTCGTCCGGTGTTTGGAGCCCTTAACATGCACTTGGTTAAAAACAGATGCAAAGGGTCGCGGCGGTTCAGGTCGGGGGAGAGGACCACCATGCACACCGACCGGACACGGGCCTCGCGGTCCCCCCGCGGGGTGGCGGGGAGGTGCATGGACGCTGTGGCGCGTGGGGACCGGTCGTCCACACCTCAGATGCTGTGCGGCCTGTTGGCCTCAGCTGTTTGTTTAAGTCCTTCGATGGGTCGCTGAATTCATGGTTTTTTTTGAACGAGGAATTGTTGATCTCGGTGAGAACATACTGCGCGCATTTTTTTTTTAACTTAAGGATTCTGACGTGCATCGCGCTTCATTTTCCTGTGCTGCCTGTGTGTCCCCATGACCCGTGAAAGCACTGAGGCAGCTCGTTTCCTTCAGAATCATTAATAGTGTTTAGTTTTCAATTAGATTTTCATCGCGACTTCAAAATGAAAAAAGAATCTTAAGTCCGTCACTTAATTTATTGTCATTCTATAGTAATAATGTTATGATTTAATTAATGAATTACATCGTGCACAGTGGCGGTCTGTGCGAGAAAGGGCGATGGCGTCTCACTTTATGAACTGTCACTGATTGTTTTGAAGATACGAGCTTGCTCAGCAGCTCCAGCAGCACCGGCCGGCGGCCCCCATAGATGACGGCGCCGTGGACCAGCAGAGCGTGCAGGTGTCGGCCCAGGTGCAGGTGGACATCGAGGGCCACGGGCTGCCGCAGACCGCGGAGGCCGTCGCCGCAAACCCCGAAGCTATGCTGGAGCTGGAGCCGCAGCACGTCGTGGGCCCCGAGGACACGGGGCTTGGTCAGCAGCTGGCAGACCCGCCTCTGGAAGCAGACGAAGGTGCGTACTTCAGGAGCTTCCACTTGCACAAGGCCCTTCACACTCGCTCCGGCTTGCACTGTGCCTCCGCCTCTGACCGTCAGTCACAGTGGCTGGTTCACGTGCGAGAGGGAGACTTCGGTGTGTGGTAGTATACATAGAGATAGGACTGTCCACATACACGGTTTCTGGAACCTGCTGTTATCACTTAGTGCGCTGAGAACGTCTCTCGTTCTTGGCGCGACCACTGCTGTCTGTCACAGCGCGCTCGGAGCCCGGCGTACAGGCTGGTGCAGGCCTGCAAACGGTTACCGGTATGCGCCGAGCCCAGGCTCCCGCCCCAAGGCCTCGCTTCCTTCGTCAGCGGCATCTTGCTACAAAAATGTCAGCTCAGCTGCAGGCGGGGAGCTTGGCGACCTAGTTAATTTGCATCAGGCACAGCGTCTCTCGTCAGTACGGGCAGCATGCCGATCGCCGGCCGTTTACTGTCGTTCGTGGATGCCCCAGTGTGTCGTTAGCCTGTGGACAGGCCTTCGCACGACAAACGGTGGCCTGTTGCCTGGAGCACCACCTCCAAAAGGCTCAGTGGGTTGGGTGCCACTGTGTTCAGACATCGCTTTATAGAAGAATGTTGTCCGAGTTTGAGGGTAAACGGAGTTGTTCTGGAAGTACAGAGATAATGCCTTAACCAGGTTCGCGTATGTGAAAATCGCCTTCCTGCTGTCCTTTCGAGACGAGGAGACCGACTGTCACACTCCTCGAGGTGTCCTGCTGGGCCGACAGGCAGTGGGAAGAAGCCTCTCGACTCGGGGATCCCCTCTCTGCGCTCTTGTCTCCAGACAGGTTCGGGGCCCCAAGGCACGCGCTGCAGGAGCACATGGGCCAGTTTGACGAGCAGGCGCCCGCGCAGCAGCCCTTCGGCCCGGCCGGCTTGTCACAGGGTCAGTGCCGGCTCCCGGGTGGGTCGTCCTGGCTGCACCTCAGGTGCTGCTAGCAGGTCCCCTGGGTTACGGGTCCCAACCAAGTGACGTTTTGCATGTGTCATGTGTGTGTGCGCGTGCGCTGCTTTTTGCTGTGCTCACATTTTCTGGAAGGCAACTTTAATGGCCGTACTATGCATGCTTTCCGGCCGAGTGGAAACAGGGACTCGGGACGGGCATCTGTGCTGGCCCGCAGGCCACACTACGAGGACGTGCGCCGAGCGCGGCCTCCTGCTGTGAGCAGACTTGTGCAGAGCCTGCCGACGCGGATGGACCCCGATTCTAAGTCAGAAAACGGAGCTCCCTTTAAACTTCTTTCTTTATAACTCTGTGTGTGTGTGTGTGTGTGTGTAACTGTAATATTTTTGGTCACACTCATATTCTCCAATTCGGTTCAGGTTTTTCGGTGACAGATACTTATAACCAGCAGACTCAGTTTCCACCTGTCCAGCAGCTACAAGATTCTAGCAGCCTGGAGTCGCAAGCCCTGTCCACCAGCTTCCACCAGCAGAGCCTGCTGCCGGTTGCCAGCTCCGAGCCGGTGGACGTGGTGGGTGTTTACGGGTGGCACTAGCCCTTAGATGCCCATGCCTGACTGTCATTGCTCAGGACTTGCCCACGGGAGGGGCCTTGCTGACTTCTCATAACTTTACGGTTATTGCGTCACCTGTGAAAACTTCAGTGTTCGGCACGCGGGGTTTTCGTTTCCCCTAAAAATGTTTTAATTTTAGTTAAGGACGTCGTTGCCACGACGTGGCGTACCTCTGCGGTTTAAACATCAGGTCGGTCAGCAGTGTCGTGTGAAAACATCTGAACAATGTCATGTTGCTTTAGTCACAAAACCAAACGTTTTACGTGTGGAATCTTATTAAAAGTGCATTAACATGAAAATATAATGAATGCTGACATATTATAAATAAATATTTAAATGCGCAACAAAGTTTCTTCTTAGTCAACTCAAAGACATTTAAGGTTTGGTTTTTTGATTTTTGGAAATTTTCAGTAGTTATGACGACGATCGTCCTATCAGATCTTGCGCTTTAACAGGCACTGTTGGTGGCTTTGTCCCTGGCGGGCCCGGGGCTGTGGGACGCTCTCCTGGGCACGCTGCTGCTCCCAACACAAGAACACGCGTCCTCCCCGCGTGCTTCTGTGACAAGCAGGGCGACTCCGTGTTTTCAGGAAGTAGGACTTATTCACCCCCAGTAGGAGCAGAACAGATGGCAGAGTTACCTCTTCTTAAGATGTGTAAAAGAATATGGAAAGATCTGTTTCGTGCCCGGTTAAGCCTTGTGTTAAAGTAAGTCAATAGGAAATAAAATAAGCACTTATTTAATAAAACCACTGTAAACGTTGTTTACCGGGCCCAAGTGACTGCAGTGAGCTACCTGGGCTCTCCCTCTTAAGTCCACATTTGTAAGCGTTCCCGGTTGTTAGTTGTTCCATATTTATTTACAGGTACTCAGGTGGTCGGCTTTATGCTTCTGTTATATTTCAGACAGCTCCTCTGATTCAGGAGTCATCCCAAGAGGAACTGGACCTGCAGACACAACGTCCCCAGTTCCTGGAGGACAGCCAAGACCAGAGCAGGCGCTCTTACAGGTAGACACCGGCGCAGGCCGCTTGACGAGCACTGGCTCACGGCTGCTGCCAGCCTGGTGCGCCTTCCCTGGCCAGGGACTTCGCTGCGTAACTTTCTCAAGAAACGGGAAATCGGTTCCGTTAGCATCCCCGTTTTATGAATAAAGGGTCGGAGACAAAAAAGATTAACTTGCTGACATTTCCGCAGCGAATGGGCGTGGTGACCGCCGAGATCCGCACAGCAGCCCTCGGCCTGTACACGGGACTGCTCTGCTGTCGCTTCCCGTCGCCACGATGAGCCATGGTTACGTTTTCAGAAATGACTTAAGTTTATGTCGTGCCTTTTTGTCCAAGGCTCGTCTGTGCTTGATATAAATCAACTCATGTGCCAGGGTACAACATGATTGCAGCGACAGTTTTTAAACTCATTCATCCACTCTTCACTGTCCATCCATTTATCCCGTCCACTACCCATCCCTCCCTCCATCCCCTCCCTTCCTCCCTTTATCCCCCCCATTCATCCTTCCATCCCCCCTCTTCCTCCCCCTCCCTCCTTCTCTCCCTCCCTCCCTCCACCCATCCTTCCCTCCATCCTTTCATCTCTCTATCTCCTTCCCTCCTTCCCTCCATCTCTCCATCTCCCCTTCCCCCCTCCCAACCCCTCCACCCCCCGCCCTGGGCAGTGTGCACTAGCACCTTCCGTGGACCACGCTGCTCTGGAGGTTTGGAGTCCCCTGGTGAGAACAGATAAGGTTCCTGCCCCAGGCTGTGCTTGACACAGCCATTTACACTGAATAAAACGTATATTTTTATACAGTTAAGTATGTAGTAAAAAAATTAAAGAATGTTATCTTTACAGAGAGAGTCTTGGGTTTATAATATTTTTAAAATTTCATTATTTATTAAAAATACTTTGTTAAACTTTAGTAATTTTTTCCAGAGCCATTTAACAAAACAATAGGGCTCATTAGAGCACAGTTACTTTTTGTCCCATGAGTATGGTAAAAGTGGGCCCCGGCAAACTGGCTTCAGCAGCGCCCTGTCCAGGAGCTCGGTCCCCTTTGGCAACCACGCCTCTTGGCGGGAAGGTCATCCGCCCTGCGCTTGCGGAGCCTGAGCGCCTGGTCAGGGCTTCCATGGGACTCTGTGGGAGAGTAACTTCGTGGTCAGCAGAGTAAGCAAGGTGGTCCCTGGGGAGCGAGGAAGCCGCGTTCTATGGGCAGACGGGTCCCGTTGCTGTGTGGACGGAGTGTGGTCCTCGTGGGCAGGTGGCCAGAGGTGAGGAGAGCTCAGCCTTCAGACCCGTCGCCGACGGTGGCGGTTGCTCCCGGCACTGCCAGCGCCGCTCTGCTCGGGCTGGCCAGTTAACACCTGCGACCATTTCGAAACGTTTGTTCTCCTAATTGGAGAACCTTTCTCAGCAAATATCAAATGTCGTAGTGGAACTCAGTTCTACAAATAGGTTTTCTTCACTGACGTGTGGGCCAGAATCAAGCCCGATTTCATTTGCGGAGCTGTCTCTCGACAGCCTGCTGGTGGGGCTTTCGCTTGCTTCTCTGTACGAGTAGCGATCCCCGCAAAGCCCACCCACACGTTCGAGTGAGATCCCAAAGTGTGTCCACGTTTCGGACACCGAGGAGCGCCCACTCCGTCCGGGCCGTGTGGGCTTGGACCGGGATTCCAGCTTGGGCCTCACCCACTTCCTGCCGCAGGTCAGATACGGAATGGGAAAAATAGAGAAATGTGATGGAATAAGCTTTCTTAACCTTTAAACAAGTTTTAATATGTGAATAGGAATTTCGAAATTTGTAATTATTTTTATCTTTAAAATAATTTTAATATATTTTGTAACAATTGAGGGAAAAATAATACCGCTTACTCATAGATTTAAAATAGCGCCAGTAAAATCTGTTTTGTGAAATATTTTATAAACTAAAAGAGAATATGGGTTGGCATTTCCAAGAGTCTAGACTCAGGAGGGATTCTGACCCTAAAGGAAGGGTGCACGGTATCTTACCGACTTAGCAGAGAAAGTAGCACTTAAAAATCGTGGTTCTTGTGTTTAAAGAAAGTTTCTAACTAATCAAATGTTATGCCTGCTGGGAAATTATTATAAGATTTACTAGTTTTGAAATAATAGAGTATCTTTAACACTACACGTGCTCTGAGCAGAATTGATGTAGCTGATTATTATCGCTGACGTTCTCATCTTTTGAATGTCGTACAGCACGTGACTGTTCTTGTTTCTGGAACAGCCCTGCCTGATTGTCGAGTGATTGTGGGTGAAGGCTGCTTTCCTTCCGTCCTCAGATGTCGCTGCTGCAGTCGTGCTGTGCATTCACGTGGTCTGTGCCCTTCCTGCTGTGTTGACAGGTGTGACTATTGCAATAAGGGCTTTAAGAAGTCCAGCCACCTGAAGCAGCACGTGCGGTCGCACACCGGGGAGAAGCCCTACAAGTGCAGGCTCTGCGGGCGCGGCTTCGTCTCCTCCGGCGTCCTCAAGTCCCACGAGAAGACACACACAGGTCATTCCTCGTCCACTCGCACGGGGTCCTGCGGCCGTCATCCTGGAGGAGCTCCGAGCCTATCAGCGCCCCTCCCCCATTTCCCCTGGTGCCCCAGCCCCAGGCAGCCCCTGACCCGCCCTCTGTCTCTGAGGGCGGGCCTGTTCTGGACGCTCACACTTGTGGCCTTTGTCGCTGGCTGTTCAGGGTTCCTCCACGCTGTAGCGCGGGCCAGCATGCCGTCCAATTTTACAGCCCGGTGGTGCCTGCCACGTGCACAGGCCACACTTCCTCGGCCATTCAGTCGTTGGACACTTGCGTCCCTTCCGTTAGCGGGCTCTTAGGATAACCCGCTACGAACGTGTGCACGTGTTTGCGTGCTGATGCGTGCCTTCATTTCTGTTTTGGGTGGGCTTGCTTGGTCCTACAATAACGCTGTTGGAACTTTGGAGTTTACTAAACTATTTTCCAAAGTGGCTGCAGCATTTTTACTTGTCCAGCAGTGTATGAAGGTTCCGATTTCAGAGTCTTGTCAATGGTTACCCTCGTCTATCGGGACCGTCCTTATGAGTGTCTAGTGATATCTAGTCGTTGATTTGATTGGTGTTTCTCTAATGAGCAGTGATGCCGACTGTCTTTTCCTGGGCTTATGGAGAAGAGTCTATTCTAACCCAATGACATTTTAGAATCCGATTATATTTATTTGTAAGAGTTCTTTAATATATTTATCAGATATGTAACTTGCAGTTAATTTTAAATGTCACTTTTATCTATTAAATACGTTTATTTAACATACATGTATATTATAAACATGTTAATATCTGATATTGATATATATTTTATATAAGGCTTTATTTGAAAATAAAGGTGTCCTGCTTAAAAGCATACAAACAAGACGAGGAAGGGCTGTATGGACTAGTCCGTAAGCTGGTGTTTGGGGACGGGTCTAACAGGTGAGAGCAGGTCTTGTGGTGCTTCGAAGGCCCGGCCCGAGCGGCAGCGTTGGCCTTGGCAGAGGGCTGTGTGCGACTTCTACAGGGATCAGCAGTTTGATCGGCATTTCATTCAGAAAGTCAGGGTGGCCACTGTGTGAAGAGAAGGTAGAGGTCGGAGGAAAATACCCTTCTCAGCTGGCTGCTCTGTCATCGGGCCAGCGGAGAGGAGGTGTTTTGTAGCAGACTTCACTTGAAAATAAAGCTATTTACAGCAGGGGTACCTGGCCCGCAGGCCACGGACTGGTACTGTTCCATGGCCTGTCAGGAACCAGGCCGCACAGCAGGAGGTGAGCAGTGGGCGGGCATCAGCATCACCGCCTCAGCTCCACCTCAGACCATCAGGCCCGGCCCGCACAGCAGGAGGTGAGCAGTGGGTGGGCATCAGCATCACCGCCTCAGGTCCACCTCAGACCATCAGGCGTTAGATTCTCACAGGAGCACCGGGCCTTGGGGACCACTCATTTAGAGGCATTACAGGTTGTTGCTTAGGAACTGACCTGTCACTTGCTAGGAGAAGGTGTATAGGTGGATTTGAGACCACACTTGCAGTGTAGACTCCACAGACATGTTGCCAGGTTCAGCATGACAGTCGGAGGGGCCTCGGCATTTGTTCAGGGGTCTGCTGGAACCTGTCATCTCACACACGCATGTGGTGAGGCACGCTGTGTCAGTTTTCATGATCTTACAGTGTCCGGTTTGTAAAAATAGGGGACTGCAGCAAATGAGCAGGTTTTAATTTTGTGGCTTGTCGAACATCTGTTTCCTTTGACCTCTCAGGATGTTAAGGTAACAATGGTTTTGCCTTGATTCTTGCCGTAGGAGTGAAGGCGTTCAGCTGCAGTGTTTGCAACGCTTCGTTCACGACCAACGGCAGCCTCACCAGGCACATGGCGACGCACACGAGCATGAAGCCCTACAAGTGCCCGTTCTGTGAGCAGGGCTTCCGGACGACGGTGCACTGCAAGAAGCACATGAAGCGGCACCAGGCGGTCCCCTCGGTCGCACCATCGCCGGGAGAGGCAGAGGGAGGAGGAGGTATTACTCCCCGTCTGTCGCGTCGAGGCTTGTTGACCGGACGAGAACTAGTGTAAATTAGTACAGAAATCCCCTTTAATCAATTTTCCCCTCTGCTGTGAAAACCCGTCCCCGCCCCCTGCACTCCCGGCAGCACACCCCTGGAAGTCGGCCCCATCCCGGTGGCCGCCCCTGCTCCTGTCCCCGCGAGCCGCCGGAGGTCTCGGTTGTCCACGGGCAGATTGGCCCGGTCGCTCACCCGGCGCCACAGGCCACGAGCTGTCCCTCCCTGCCGTTTGCCGCAGGCGTGTTTCTGGTCAGTAGACACGGGCGGAGTGCACGCGTCCTGTTCTCTTTCCTGCGTAGTTCCCTCCCGAGGGACGTGGGCCCTTCCTGTTCTCCTCGTGGGAGCGGCCATGTCCCTGGGGTGCCGTGACTGTCGCGTGCTCCCGCACACGGCGTCTCATTTCGTTGGCGTGGAACGCGGTGTGGTCTCGCCGCGTGCCCAGCCCCAGCCCGTGCGGCCGGCCCGGGAGCCTTGCCTGGTGCTCCCCTTTTACCTCCCTTCTGATGTCTGTTGAGCGCGTTCCACGAGGGGCGTCAGAGGCCGAGGGTGTGCTCGTTGTGTGTGCTCACGCGTAGCGTCCGCGCACAGCCCCGGGTGCTGCTTTGGACGCGCGTCGCGGGCCCACACCCGCTCAGGGCTGTGGCAGCGCCCGCGTCTCACACCGTGTCTGCGGCCGGACGGCGTGGGCCTGGGGCCTGCACACAGCGCTCAAGGTGCCGAGGGCTCGGTCGGCGTGCCGGCGTCACTCCCCCCACAGGTGTCCACCTGGCCTCATGGCCCGGCTGTCCCCACGCGCTGTGCTGCGTCGATGCCGCGTAACCTCCTCTTGCATTTTGGGGAATACGTGTTTAAAAATGCCTGACCGGCCTCAAGGTGGCAGAGCCAGCTTCTCCATGGCAGGGCCCCTGCTGCTCTCCTTCCCTCAGCAGGCGGTTCCGGATCCTGACGTGTCCGACCTGTCACCGGCAGACGGACAGCGCCGAGTTTTCAGTCTGACGGGATCTGGATTTCCGTTAAAAAATTTAGTTTTATTAAGTTTACTGGGATGACATTGGTTAATAAAATCATACGGGTTTCACGTGTATAGTTCTGTAATGTGTCATCTGTGTACTGCAGTGTGTTCACTTCTCAAAGTCGAACCTCTTGTTTATTTCCATTTTCTTATTGTCATGTGACTTAGCATTATTTTAGAAAAAGGAAATAATTCTTTTTCTTACAACAAATTAAAAAAATACAGGCCATCCACATATTATTTCTAGAATCCTACAGTTTGGAGGGTGTAACCAGCCAGTGAAAGTAGCCGGTAAGCCTAGTGCGTGTGCTCCTTCCCGTCAGTGATCGAGGCGTCTGCTGCCGTGAGCAGAGCTGCCCGGTGGGTGTGGGGGCCTCTGCTGCGGCTTCCCCACGGTGCCCCACACACCTGCACAGCTCGTGGGTTCCTGCTTTGATCGTTGAGAAAAAATCCACACGTGCTCTCTCTGGTCCATGAAGAAAAGCCACTTGTAAAAACTGTGACTTTGACCCAGAGCTGGAGTCTCGTAGCAGAGATGTAGTTCCTTCTCGTTCGCCGTGACAGTGGCGGCCCGTTCGACCCCACACTGCTCTCTCGTTTTGTCTTCTGCTCACTATGCTTCGTTTTGCTGCCCGTTGTCCTCACTGACTTGCTGTATTGTGGTTTTGGTTGCTTTCAGATTGTTAATACAGTTATCTCCGTATTTATCAGTGTTGCAAGGCCATCTGTCATCTGCTGCCCCTCAATCTTTCTAAAAGTCTTATGGACGCAGTGTGGGATTTTAGTTCATTCCGTTCTGGAATTGCACGCACACCGCCATCCTCCCGGCCGCCTGCTCCCACCCTCCCGTCTCTGCCGCCTTTTCTCTTTTTATCAGAGAAATCATCCAGATACTTTTTTAATTCGCTCATTTCGTTTTAGCCACTGTCCGTTCCGCTGTTTAGTGTTTCGCTTTAGCCATCTGTGCCGTGATGGCCGCTCCGTCCAGCCACGCTTACTTTCCGCTACGTTTCATAGCAACGCTCTCTTGTTTTCGGTCAATGTAAACACATCCGTGCACTTTACCGACCGAACAGGTAAACACAGACATGTGAAAAATGTTTTTCCTTTACATCTTTTTAGCTGGGGGCTGTTTGCTAATGTATTGACTTGGTCCGTTCTTCTGGGCCGCCGACGTTCTTGTTCGGTAATTCAGTTCTTGCCCATGTCCGTAAACAGAGGCCTGTGTTTATGAACACTGGTGGCCGGTGTGGACACCGACACCTCAGACCTCACTGCCGGCTGAGAGCCGTGCGTAGCGGTCCCGGCGTCCGCCGTCGGTGACCACTCCGAGGCTCACCAGCCTTCCCTGGGCTGCGTCCCTGCCGGGGGCTGCCCAGCGTCTCGTAGAAAGAGCAGCGGCAGGAAAAGGCCCTGACCGTCTCAGACACAGCTCCGCGAGCTTGTCCTTACCTCGCAGACCTGTCTGTTTTAACTTCCCTGTTTTGTTGAACCTGGTTTTTTATTAGGATCCGACCCCCTGCCCACATTTCCCTTAGACGTGTGTCTGGAGGGGGAGGAGGAGAACCCCGAGCGAGACGCCTCTCGACGGGCCCGCACCGAGGTCATCACGTTTAGCGAGGAGGAGACGGCGCGGCTGGCGCGGACGCAGCCGCGGGACAGCGCCACCGTGTCCGAGCAGGTGCTGGTGCAGTCGGCCGCCGAGAAGGACCGCGTCAGCGAGCTGAAGGACCGGCAGGCGGAGCTGGAGGCCGAGCCCAAGTATGCCAACTGCTGCTCCTACTGCCCCAAGAGCTTCAAGAAGCCCAGCGACCTGGTCAGGTAGGCTGGCCGCCGGCCCCCCTGCTGGTGGCGTGCCATCGGGGAGGCCGGGCCAGGTGGCGGCGGTGTCCTGGAGTTGCAGCTTCAAGCTGGTGCCAGTTTCGAGGCTTCCTTTCCGCCCATTCGGATAGCCGATCGGGCTGCGTCCGGTCTGGGGGCTGCGTCCGGTCTGCGGGCTGTGTCCGGTCTGCAGGCTTCGTGCGCTTGCTTCTGTGCCCACCAGCTGAGTGTGCTTGGTCACTAGGCCGTGGCCAGCTCTCACGTCCTCACCTGCATGGTGTTAGTAAAGCACCTGGGCGGGGTGACTTGTTGAGGAAGACAGGCGCCAGGCTTCGCAAGCCGCAGAGCGGCAGTGGGTCCCTTCCTGCCCCACCGGGCTGCGAGTCTGTGCGGGAGGCATGGGCACACGCATGGGACCAGTCGAGTGACAGCAGGTGGCACGAGGCAGACCGGCCAAACGTCAGTGATTGACATGAGGTGGAGTCTTGCAGAAGGTGATAAAGTAGAAACCAGGACATGTGGCGGGGGGAGGAAGGGCCCGGACCACGCTGACCGGAAGAGCCAAAGCGCCGCCTTGTCTCAGAGCGTCCAAGGGCGCTGCCCACAGTAGGGGACACGCGAGCTTTGCTTTTGGGGATAGAACTAACGGTGACAGTTGCGGGGCGACTTCCTACAAGGGGGAGGTCAGGCTTTTACGGTGGCCCTGGCGGAGCAGCTGTCCCTGTTCCTCTTGGTCTGTGGTGCTCCACGGGAGGCGGGCGCAGTGCAGGTGAGCACGGGCGGGCTGGCGGCTTGCTGCTGGGTTGGACGTGCCCGTTTGGTGAGTATAGGAGGTGACTGCTGGCTGCACACTTCTCCCCAGGGGGATGAGTAGTGGAGGTGGGGGGACCGTGACAGTGAGGCGGGAGCGGGGATCAGAGCCCAGAGAGCTGGGCCAGGCAGCATCCCTCGGCCAGTCAGAAGGAGGAGACAAGAGGTCGCAGAGCGACCCCAGGTCCGAGGACTGCAGCAGTGGAGTGTAGGATGCGGGTGGTGGGTGAGCCATGAGGCGGGAGCGGCTGCCCTGGACGCAGGAGTCCAGCCCGGCCAGCAGGCGGTGTGGCCACGGGGAACGCATGACAGCTGGCAGGCAGGGTCAGGTCAGCGGTGGGAGGCGAGGTGGGATCCTGGACGAGAGGCATGCCGGGCCAGGGTGCGTGTGGAGGTGAGGTGCTGGGGACAGCCTGGGAGGCTGTGGGCCTGTGGGGGCGGGAGGGTAGCCGGAGTGACGTGATGGAGGCGGTAAGACCCCGCAAGGTCCTCGGTCTGTGCGATGCCGTCAGTGTCACGGGGGACGAGGACAGGGAGCGGGGCAGCCTCGCGGTGACTCGTCTCGTTCTGTCTTGCGTCTGATAACCCTCAGAGGCCCAGCCTCCTCGTCGCACCTCAGGCCACCATCGTGCTGCAGGGAAACAAAGCAAAGCTCCGGCTGCAGGCTGCAGGGGGGTCCACTACTCCCCAGAGAGAGCCAGTGCCCTTCAGAAGCGTCCACACGTCACACTCAGCTCTGACGTTTGTCTCTGAGTCGTGCGTGTCACTGAGCCCGAGGCGTCTGTCTTCAGCAGTGCCTCCCCCCGCCCCGCCGTCTCGTCTCCGTGGTGCTGTGGATACGGAGTGTTCTGCGTGGGCACCCCGAAACGTGTGTCGCCAGGTTCCGAGTGACCGTGGGGTTTCCGGCGTAGTTGCCAGGCTCGTGTGGGCACCTGTGCGAGTGTCGGCCTCCAGGCGGGCCGAGCCACCTGTGTTGTCGCCCTCTGAACGCCGGCTCCCAGACCACCGGCCGCACGGTCTGCTCAGACTGATAGGGAGGACAGATGCCTTGTCACTTCGGTTTGCTCGGTGTACATTCTGTGGCTTTTCCCCGCTGTGGCTCTGTGCGTTTCTTCTCTACGCTGCCCCTGCGCGGCCCACTTTCCTGACGGGGGGGTTTTTGTCTGACTGCTGATTTGTGAGAGCTCTTTGATTTTTAAGGAGGCCAGCCCTACTTTCTTTGGTCTTGCAGGGGTTTTTTGTTGTTATTCGGATTTATTTATGGGTTTTTTTTGTATAAAGTGAGGCTTAAACGTTTTGTTTGGCCCAACTTATTCAGCACGTAGTAACACATGATTTTCGTTTATGTAGATACTTATAAGTTTAAAACCATGAAGCTGTTTGTAAACGCGTACCGAGTTTGGAATGCAGCACACTTACTTGCACACGCTTTCCGGTTAGGCACGTTCGGATCCACACCGGAGAGAAGCCGTATAAGTGTGACGAGTGTGGGAAGAGCTTCACGGTCAAGTCCACCCTCGACTGCCACGTGAAGACGCACACAGGTGAGGCCCCACACCTGCACGGGAGCCTCACGGCAGCATCCCGTGTTAGTTCCTTTGTATTTCGCACGTAAATACTTTCAAAGTTACAGAAATTGTGAAAGTTAGGAACCATGAGAAACGGACACGAGAGATTTTTGCTTCCTGCCAGGGCAGAGCAGTCCACAAGTGCTGCGGAGAAGGGGCTGGGCCCCAGATCGGGGCTGAGAGCTGCGTCCTCACTCAGGACAAATGCTGTGGAGAATGTCACCTCTTAGTCTCACCTAGGCCAAAGAGGGTTGGTTCGGTGAGGTTTTGTAAAAACTGGGACTTAATAGATCTGACTGCAGTGAGGTGTTAGTTCTCTTCATGGGGAGGGCGTCTCGTAAAGGGAAATGTGATGCACCATTTCCAAGGCCATTTTCTTCTCTTCATCTCGTTTGAGGGACTGAGGAAGGTTCACTGTTCTAATAAAAGCAGCTTTCGTTTCTTGGCTCTGCATTGCGTCCCCGTGGTCCGGGGCTGGCTCTGTGCCTCCGCCGGCCTGGACCCTGGATGCCACTCGAGTTGCTTTCCTGGACCCACAGCTCCTCCCTGAGAGCTGCGTCACTTAGACACGTGGCCAGGGAACCTGCAGTAGACGTCGGAGGCGGTATTGTGGGTCACAGGGTGGTGACTCTTCATGTCGGAGGCCCTGTGATCCTTTCCTGATGGGTTGGTGCTCGGAACTGAGGCAGCAGATATGTGAACTTACCCCACAAGCCTCTCCTGTCCCGTTAGGTTCTGGGTGTTTGTCCCCCTTGGGTGGCACCATGAACTGCTGAGGGTCCGGAGGGGCCAGCCCAGCGCCCCCGCGACCCCAGGTCGAGCGTGCTGGCTCCACAGGGTGCCTGGTGACCGCCCGCTGGGCCCACGAGGACCGGGATAGAACAGGGTGGAAACAGGACAGAAGGCGGAGTCTCTGCAGGACAGCTCTCCGGGGCCCTTTGCAGTCTGCCAGCAGCAGGTAGTCGCGGAGGCCGTCAGTGCTGGGGCTCAGCCTCTCTGGCCCGCCCTCTTGTCGCAGCCGGCCCGTCTGTGCAGAAGTCTGAGTTGGTGTCTGCGGCGGCGGGGGGCACAGAGGACCAGGACGTCCTCTGCTCCCGGGACCGTCCTGGGCAGCTCTGTGCTCGCGAGGGCTCCGTGGTGCCCTGTACACGTGGGGAAGATTGTGCTCCCGGAGCTGGGCAGCTGCCGCTGGACTTGTGGGGCCGCGGGCCCAAAGAACGAGGAGACGAGACTTGAATGCACGCAGCCTGTGTGAGATCAGAGGGTGGTGGCGAGAGCCACGTTGTCACTACATTGTCCCCGCCCCCGCCACACTGCCACTGCCCCCGCTGGGCCTCCGTGTGGCACCCTGGGCCGGAGTCGCTGTGGACGGGAGGTGCTGGGGAGCTGCCGGACGCCACCTGTGGACTACACTGGCCCCTTCGGGTCCTGGGGCAGCTCCCTGTGCTGGCCGCTGTGGCCCACGGGGGCACGTGGGCGCTGGGTCAGCACGTGCCCATGCCCACTGGCTGCGCGCCCACCTCTGGACGTGCCACTGACTCTTGGCACCCACAGGTCAGAAGCTCTTCAGCTGCCACGTCTGCAGCAACGCCTTCTCCACGAAGGGCAGCCTGAAGGTCCACATGCGCCTGCACACGGGGGCCAAGCCGTTCAAGTGTCCCCACTGTGAGTTGCGTTTCCGGACGTCGGGGCGGAGGAAGACCCACATGCAGTTTCACTACAAACCGGACCCCAAGAAAGCCAGGAAGCCCGTGAGCCGCAGCCCGCCCGAGGCCGTGCAGCCGGCCGGCCTCCTCAGCCCGACGCCCAGCGACTCGAACGTGTTCATCGTGAACAACTCGGTGCTGACCGGCCAGTTTGATCAGGGTTTGCTCCCTCAGGGGCTGGTGAGCCAGACCGTGCTCCCCGCCTCCGTGTCAGGTGAGCCGAGTGTCCCGAGGGGAGGGGCAGGCCTGCTGGACAGTCCACGTCGTCCCTGTGGCCACTGCTCTGGCTGCTTCCGGCCCGGGGTGTGGTAGTTGTTTTAAACCTCGGCCCGATTGGTGTAATCTCTTTGAGCCTAGTGTTCTGATACGTTTAAAGTGGGTAATATTCATTTAACAGGGTTTGTTTAGTGAGGATTAAATTAGACGAGGGGGGTGTGTGATATATTAACGTTTATCAATCAGTTCAGATCAATGGACGTGTACAGAACTCGTGTGTTTAAGAATCCCCGCATAAGTGAGTTTTTTTGAGAAGTTTTTCTGGCGTCCGCTCATTCCTGTTTGCGTCCCGTGCAGCTGGTGGCGACTGGACAGTGTCTCTGACAGAGGGGAGCCTGGCCGCCCTGGAAGGCATCCAGTTACAGCTGGCCGCCAACCTGGTTGGGCCTAACGTGCAGATTTCTGGCATCGACGCGTCCAGCATCAACAACATCACCCTGCAGGTGGGACGCTGGCCGTGCTTGCCGTGGTCGGGTCACGCGTTCCTGTGGCAGTCCCCTCACGCGTGTCCCTGTCACTTCCAGATCGACCCAGGCGTGCTGCAGCAGACGCTCCAGCAGACCAGCCTGGTCGCTCAGCCGCTGTCCGGGGAGCCGGGCCTGGCCCCGCAGAGCAGCCCCCTGCACACACCAGACACCGCGGTCCCGGCCAGTGTCGTCATCCAGCCCATCGCAGGCCTGTCCCTGCAGCCCACGGCGACGTCTGCCAACCTGACCATCGGCCCGCTGTCTGAGCAGGACTCCGTTCTGGCCGCTGGCGGCAGCGGTGAGGGCCACGTCCTTGGGTGGTTCCGACAGCTGGGGCTCAGCGTCGTGCTTGTAGTTGTGTTTGAGTTTAGGACACTGCGATGACGTTTTCTCTCTATAAAGCTCACCACACAGACGTCCTAAGGATAAAGTGACGTTGAGTCACGGAGATGACAGCATTCGTGGGACTTTGTCCCGCTGGCCTCCTCGTTCGCCGGCAGGCCTCCTTATCTAGGCGGAGGACTTAGAGATGACCGATACTCTATTTTCAGTGTTTCTCTTTTTGAAATAATAGTTTCACCAAAATATTTTTAACGTAGAAAGGAGAAAATGGTTGTTTTTTAAGCCCAGTTTTTGTTGTTTTGTCGTGATGACCAGGGACTCAAGACCTTTCTCAGGTGATGACGTCGCAAGGCTTGGTGTCCACCTCCACTGGCCCCCACGAGATCACTGTGACCATCAACAATTCAAGCCTGAGCCAGGTCTTGGCGCAAGCCGCCGGGCCCACCGCGTCACCCTCGGGGTCCCCGCAGGAGATCACCCTGACCATCTCCGGTGAGTCGCTCGCGGTCTCGCGGCCTCGCGCCTGCACTCGCGTGTGTCTCACTCGTCCTTTGTGCACGCTGAACGCTGCGTGAAGCTGGTGCCCTGTCATTCAGGTGACACCTTGGGGGTGGTGAAAATAACGTGGCTGAGCAAACCCCGTACTAAAGTTAAAAGTGGCAGTCCCTCACGTCACTTCCCCTTTGAGTCAGCAGTTTTTCACACAGATTTTCGTTCGGCAAAGAGCGGAAAACCATAGCTTCGCAGCTCTTTCTCTTGCTGCGTCAAGTGCCTGAATACTGAGTCAGAGCGGAACTCTGAAGAAGCGCGTAAAAATACATTATAGCTTGGGAAGTGTGAGCAGATGCATGCTTTCAGTTAGGGAAGTGGATGTCGTCATTTTCTTTTTTTTCCTAAAACGACCTTTAAACATGGAATAGTGTGATCTGTTTAACACACGTCCCAGTATGTAAGTTAACACGTTGCTTTCAGACATCACAGTATTAATTTTCATTTAGGTCAAGACCTCATCCAACACAGTTCTAATGGAAGTAGCGAGCTAAACGGGAGCATAAGGCTGTCAGCACCTGCGATCGGCAGCCAGTCTGCAGATGCCACCTTAGCAATAAGCAGCGGTCAGCTTCTCTCACAGAGCGCAGCGTTGAACGCTTCAGGTAAGCCGCTGACCAGCCAGCCAGGGAAGACATCACGAGACACCGAAAGGTCTGTGCGCCCGGCCAGTGGGTTGAAGGAAGCCCTCTGTCCACTGACAGATGCCACTGCCTGATCTGTCCCAGGGGCTGTGATTCCATAGCAGTTGGTAGTGGTTTACGTAGGACTCTAGGGTACAGAATTCTTTCTAAAGTTATTAGTCAATTGGTAGTCCTACCTTTTTGAGAGTAAAGGTGAGTAATCCCATGTAAATGTAGAGGGCTCTGTGTATTTATGCAAGCTAGCATTTTGGTGACTCCACGACAAAGCTGGCTCTTCTTGCCAACTGGAAGCTTCTGTGCCCTGCACTATGGATTTTCTGGCACCAGCCGACAGTAGGATGACAAACTAGAAAGCATCTTTTTGAGATTTTGAAATTACAGACTTTTATGAAAAATAGAAATAAGTGAACACGAAGTAAAAGCGAACAAGCCTGTGAGTCCGAGCGGCTTTGTGGGTGACTGGGACAGTCTGGGTGCCGGGCCAGCCCTGTCTTCCTTACTCCGTAGGGATGTCAGGAATTTCTTAGTCCTCTTATTTTCCACCTCTGTATATTATTTTTTTGAGAAAAACATAGGCAGAGTTGCACCCACAGCTGGGTTTGTTCGTGCTCAGCTGAAATGCGTTCTCACCTAGTCGTTCATTGATGCATAAGAGACCGTTGCATGTGCTACGTGGTCAGAACCGTGCCAGGTCCGAGCTGTCGTGGTGTGCGGGGCAGGCCCGGGCCCCTCGCATGTGGGGCCCAGAAACTGCCAGCACCGATGTGCACTGAAGCGTGAAGTCTCGGGGTGGCACAGAGGGGGACAGTGGTGCCTGGGTCATGGGATTTGACCCAGCGGGACGTGCGGGTGACGCCCAGGTGTGTGGGGAGCGCTTGCCCAGCGAGGGGCATGGTGCTGCGGGGCCGGGGGCCTGGGCCGAGGCCAGGCGGCAGGGCGGGCTGGAAACACGAGGGAGGCACGGGCCTCTCAGGACCTTAGAGGAACGTCGTCCCCTCCCTCACCTGTGGAGGGGTGGACAAAGGCTCGTGTGGTTGGGAGCCGAGTCTGAGTGGCAGGTCGGCAGGCCCCACCCCGGACCTCTGCCCCCGGGCCGAGCGCTCGGTCTCCCTCTTCCTCCCTCGTCCGTTCCCGCATGTCGAGCTCTGGCCTCGGAAAAGGTATCGCACACCTTGGTTCTTTTCCTTATTAATTTGAAGCGAGAGACTTTTTTTGTTTTTCAGTTAAGGGGAATTTTGTTTTACATTTTCATGGGCTTTGGCTTTGGTTTTAATTTAGTCTGCGGTGACTGAGACATCAGAAATGTGTCATGTACGATTAAAGTCACAGAGCAGACTTTCTACAAACTTCTTGTGAGAGGTCATCCCCTGTGTCTTTCTGCCAAGGGTGACATGGTGTGCCCAGCTGCGACCCCCAACTCCTGCCGAGCGCCCTCTCCACCGTGTGTGTCCCGGGAGCTCTTGTCTGAGCTTCCCTCGGCATCTGCAGCAGTGGCAGTGGCCGTAGGGTCACAGGTTTCATTTCCTGTCACTGCTTTTTCTCTAATTATACTCGGGAAGCAGCGTATGTTTAAGTACAAAGGTATTTAGAATCTGAAAGCCACGAGCGTGGGATCAGAGGTTCTGTGATGTCCTCGACGCAGCTCAGAGGCGCGGGCAGCGTAAACGCCAGCTGCGGCAGGCGCCTCCTTCCTGCAGCCGTGTTCCGGGTGTGGCTCCGGGTTGGACTCAGCCCACCTCCCCGCCCGTCTCTCATTTCGCCTGTTTGCAGAGCTTAACGTGGCCGCCGGGGGCCTCTCCACCACGCCGATGTCTCCGTCTGCAGTCTCCGCTCAGAACCTGCTCATGTCCTCGTCAGGTGTGGGGGGCGAGGCCAGCGTCACCCTGACTCTGGCGGACACCCAGGGCTTGCTCTCGGGAGCGCTGGACACGGTCACACTCAACATCGCTTCTCAGGTAGGTGCAGTCACACACTGTCCTGCGGTGATCTGGAAACTAGTGATGCCCCCCCAAAAGGGAATTCTGAACATTTTCTTTCAAAATTGGAGGTTTTTTCTGATTCGAAAGTGTAGCATGTTAAATGCGGAAGGGGGAAAACAGGAAAATCTCAGGTGGAACAGACGGAACCGAGGTCAGCAGGCCCGGGCGTGTGCGCCCTCCCATACCCTCTGTGCGCACGCACTGGGCTGTCTTCAGCTTTTACAGGGAGGCGCTCACGTGTGTGTCCCCCTCGCATCCCTCTGCGACGATCCCCACGAGGGATCGTGGTGCCCGAGGTCAACTCTGTCTCACACATCTTAGCTTTGGGTTGGAATTGACACGTTCATGAGCCAATACAGGTTCTCGTGGCCCACGGTTGTATTTGTCTTTGATTAATAAAATGAGGAAATGCAAATTTATCCATTTCGATTGAGGTCATTTTTCAAAATCGGGCGGTATGATGAGTGGTGGCTGAGGCCAGCCCCAGACGCGTGAGACGTGCAGAGGTGGCTGGCATTCGAAAGAGCAGATTCATCTTGCTTCCTCGTGTTAGGGGGCTTGTGACCATGAGGTTTTATCAGGATATGTGGAAACTTTTCAGTCTGTCCTATGTTTGGGCAAAAAAATGAGTTATATGGTGACACCTAAAACATGTCACTTTTTGAAGGTACGTGTGGGTGTAAAGAGTCCCGGTCCACACGAGAAGCTGTCCTCGTCCAAGTCTGGGTGGGTGACCCGTGATGCACGTCTGCCCGTGTCCACCCGCCATCTGCCACAGGAAGTGGACCTGATGATTTTTCAAAGCCATGTCCACCCCGTTTTTAGCCTCCTCTTCCCTGCTCCATCTTTGTCTTCCCTGCGGGAACTCGGCCGGGTCTTCCTCCGAGACATCGAGAGTCGGCCCCTCCTCTGGCTGCAGGGCACCAGGCGGGCCGCGCCCTCCTCTGGGCCCCCATGTTCTGCCGCCCCCACCCCAGCGCTGGGCTTCGGTGCGGGGCCCGTCCTGGCCCGGCTTCCCTTCCGCCGGTCGGCGCCGTGCTGCGCAGCTTAGACGCACTCGGCCCTCGTGTCGTGCGCACGCTCACTGTCCTGCGCCCTCTCTGCGCCCGCCCCGCGTCCCACCCGAGCACATCCATTCTCTCTTTGTCCCGGGGTCACGGTCAGTAGGTGAGGGTGTGCCGCAGCGGTCATTAGACTCACAGTGGTCTCGTGTCGTGTAGCAGACTGTGTGTGGCTTTAAATAAGCAAACGTGCTTTATGTAGACGTGCGATTGCTTTACTGAGGTTTAGTTTACAGACTGTGAAGTTTATTTAAAGTGTGCACTTGACTGGTCTCTGATGTAGCTGCAGAGTAGAGGAACCATCACCACGTCTGATTCTAGAACATTCTGTGACCCTAGAAAGAAACTTTGTACTGTTGGCAGAGAGCAGCCACTCTCATGTCTCTCGGCCCGGCCCACGCCACCTCCACGTCTTCCCACTTCCCGTCTCTCTGGATTTGCCTGCTCGGGACACGTCACGTAATCGGGTGACACCGAAACAACCGGTGTTTCGTGCTTGGCTCCGCTCAGCGTAACACCCTCCGGGCTCGCCGTGCGGCGTGCATCACGCTCTGGTTCTCCTTACTCCCGAGCAGCGCTTAGTTTCCAGCTGGCGGACGAAGGGGTTGGGTCCCCTTTGCAGCTGCGCTGGGCAGTGGGGACAAGGCGTCAGGTGCCATAGGCTCTCATCTCGGGGGCAAGTACCTGGGGTGGACTTACTGAGTCATGGGGTCTTGGGGTTAACTTTGAGGACTCGCCACCTGTTTCCCAAGTGACCGCACCTTAAAAGACCTTAGGCTGCCTCTGAAATCGTGACGACCTTTGCAGGGTCAGCAGTTCCCAGCCTTGCTCACGGACCCCTCTCTCTCGGGCCAAGGAGGCGTGGGCTCACCGCAGGTCATCTTGGTGAGCCACGCGTCACAGCCATCGTCCGCAACCTGCGAGGAGATCACCTACCAGGTACCGCAGGCGCGTGCCTTCTCGGCCGTGCAGTTCCTTGCACACAGACCCCGGGGGTGGGGGGCGGCCTGTGCGGTGGCGCCTCGCCTGGTGCCAGGGAGAGTCCTAACCGCAGTGGCCTGGGCAGCAGCGGTCCCCCACGGTGGCAGCATCCTGTTCTCTGACCCGTGCCCAGTCTGTTCCTCAGGCAGCACAGGGCGCAGGTGCTGTGCTGGGCCGCACGCGCTGTGCTGGGCCGCACGCTGCCCTTCCTCGAGATGACACGCCACACCCTGGGGGCTCGGCGCACCCGCCTCAGTGTATCTCTGTTGTCATTTGTCACGCGGCGGTGGCAAACTGCCCGAGTCGAGTAAGTCCCGGGATTCTGACCCGCTCCAGGTGACCGACATCTCTGCGAGCCTGGCCCAGGGCGGCCAGCCCGAGAAGGAGGGCCGGCTGCAGCAGTGCGTGGAGTGCGGCCGCACGTTCGCGTCCTCGGCCTTGCTGCTGCAGCACAGCAAGGAGGCCCACGGCCGGGAGCGCATCCACGTCTGCCCCGTGTGCCGGAAGGCCTTCAAGCGCGCCACCCACCTCAAGGTACGCGCCCTGCGCCCTGGCGTCCCTGCGGGCCCACACGGCAGGGGGCTCGACCCAGCCGCTTCCACCCAGAGGAGAGGAGCGGGCACGAGCCCCGGGACGGCTCCCCAGGCCTGGCCGGCTGAAATCCCCGCTGGGGGTGCGTGGCCAGGCCTCGTGGCTCTAGGCCGGGCTCCCGCACCCCTGCCTCTTCATTCCTGAGGGCATCACGGCCCGTAGCCACTTAGCACACGAGTCCCGAGCCACCGTTCCTCGGAGCCTTAAGGAGCCCCCTGGGCAGTGGGCCAGGCCACCTGCTGTCCAGCCCTCAGCGGCCAGCACCCGCCTCTCCTGCCACGGCTCCCGAGTGGAGGAGCCCCACCCAGTACCAACACGTTTCCAAAAGAGGGCCCCACCCTCGCTTCTGAAACACCAAACGTGGAATGAACTCGAGAGAGCTGCAGCCGTAAGCCTGGGGTGCACCTGGGACCGCAGCGTCCCCCATACCCGGCCTCTTCTCCACTTTGGTGCTGCCGCTTAGGACCCCACGACATGGCCAGGCCACGTAACGGCAGCACGCCGGCTCCCGCACTGTAGTGAGAACGGTGACTTACACGTCACGGCTCTTTCAAGGACTGTAAGTTAGCATCACGCTCAGCTCGCAGTACGGCCGCGGTGCTGGTGTCTGAGAGAGAGGATCTTCTTGAAAAGGCAAGAGATTAAAAACAGTTACAGAAAATTTGTTGTTTCAAATACAATTACTATACCGAAAACATAGCTTTTCCATAAACGTTTTGAAGTGGTGACACTCAATCTGAAGGACTAAATTTGTCATTTTAATACCTATGAGTTACTTTCTCTTGATGACCTTCAGGAAGGGGGGATTTAAAACAAATTACATTGTGCCAGAAAATAAGGAAGCGTGTGCGCGCGCGCACACACACACACACACACACACTCACAGTGACAGGGACTTAGAGGGACACAGGAGCTGATTGGAAAGCTCCTGGTGGCCAAAGCTAGAACAATTGGAGCAAGAAAACCAAGTAGAATTGAGTCATAACCCACAGGGCAAAATAAATACCCGTGGGCCCTCACTGGTAGAGACATGACTGATCAAAACAATGAAAAATAAGGAGGAAGAGACACATCTTCCCCGCAGAGAGTCCCAGTTTCTGCAGGCCGTGCCCTTGAAGACCCGCACCCCCCACCCCTGCCCGGGGCAAGGGGTGAGCACACTGGCTGCACATGGCTTTAGCCAGGTGGCCAGGTCACAGCCGGTGGTCACAAAGCCTGTGGGGCAGGTCTTCGTCATTGTGGGGTGGAAAAGGCACGCGGCCTCCCCAGGCCCTCGACCCTGGTCTGACAGAAGAATCAGCAGACGAGTCTCATTGAGGGACGTCAAGGTCACCCATAGCAGAGGGTCTGAGACACCGCCCCTGCCACTGGGGGAGTGGAGCCCTGGATGCTGACCTCGAGGCCCCGTGGAGCGTGGCCAGCCCCGCCCCTGCCCCGTTGTCCTCCCGGCCGCTCAGGCCCCTGCAGCTCTTCAGGCCTGAGGCATCTGTTCTCTGTGCGGGTGGGTGTCTCTGACAGGAGCACATGCAGACGCACCAAGCAGGCCCTTCCTTGAGCTCCCAGAAGCCGAGGGTGTTTAAATGCGACACGTGTGAGAAGGCGTTTGCCAAACCGAGCCAGCTGGAGCGACACAGCCGCATCCACACAGGTAACGCCGGCGGGGCTGGCTTCCCTCGGGGGCGGGGCCTGGGGCCAGCGCAGGTGGCGAGAGCAGGGCCGGCATGGTGGCCGTCTCCCCGCTCAGGCCGCCTTGTCCTAGCTCTCTCCTCACCGGCCCCCTTCCAAGCGAGAGGGGTGCCGTGTGCAGGCGAGCACTGGGCACGGGCCCTGCGGGGGTGCCCCGGCGCCCTGACCCGTCTGCTCAGCCTCCTAAATCTGTCCAAGTCTGTCTCAGAAAAACGAACGAAACCCAGAAGCCAGCCCCCATCTCCTGGGCTCCGGCAGCGAGGCCACCCCGTGCCCCTCTGGTCCGCCACCGACTCAGGCGCCCGCTCCCCACTCCCACGCCCTCTGCTCTGGCCCCGTGGCCCTGCCCCTCATCTGGCCTCCTGGCCAGTTTCCCCGCTTCTCCAGCCCTGCGTCCGTACAGCAGCCAGGCTGGAACCTCGAGAGAGGAGGGACCGCCCGTCCCCTCCTGAGCACGTCCAGGTGGAGGCCTGTGTCCCCCTGTGACCCCTCCGGCCCTCAGGATGCACGTCCTCGGCCCTCGGGAAGTCCCAGGCTCTCAGGCTCACCTCATTGTCACCCAGGCCTTCTCATAGTTCCCAGTGGCTGGTCATCCTCTCCCAGGCCTGCTGCCTCTTTGGCTGGCCATCGCTGACTGGCCAGGTGTCAGCGTGGACACCCCCACCAAGAGGCCTCTGTCCCTTCTGGTGACCGCGGCCAACGCAAAGCGCCTGTGTGGCCAGCAAAGCCCTTCCGGTCACGGGCCTTCCCGCCACGGGCTCCCGTGTTTTCAGCAGCGTTGCTGTTGGGCAGTGGGTCCCGGCACGCTAGGTGTTCAGGAAGAGCTTTTGAGCAGAAAACAAACTGCCACAGTGTCACTTCGTGACGTGGTCGCTCAGTACAAAGTTTTAAGGAGTAGTGACGCCGTTGGTCGTTTATGATAAGTAGATAGATGTGCGCGAAGGGTTTGGGGACACCACTAAGCACACGTTGCTGTGACCTCACTGCTGTCCATGCTCCACCCCAGCTCCCGTGGGCACCTGTCCCCACCAGCGAAAGGCTGCTCGTCCCCACAGCCCACCCTGCACACACAGCCCTCGCCTGCACAGGCGCCCTCTGTGCTCGTCCAGGTCCTCCAGTCGTGACTTTGATCACGTTGGTGACAGCCTTTTCTCCATGCAAGGAATGCGGTCGCAGGCGTAATGACCTCGTGTCCACAGTCCTGGGGCTTGTGGCCACTGACTGGGTAGAGGGACAGACTTAGCATGGAGCTGGCTGACACCGGGGTTGGAGTGGGGAGCAGGGCCCTCGGAGGTGGCATGGAGGCCTGGTGCTGGCTGGCACTGGCCAGTGGGGCTCATGGCGGGGGCCGAGCAGAGCGCGGGGGACCCTTCCAGGCCCGGGGCAGGGGAGGGCGGGGCCCTGGGGCTCGGCAGCCGTGAGTGGCAGCAAGGCACAGGGGACCGAGGGCCGGGAGGGGACTGCAGAGGACGGTGCCACTGCAGCCAGGTCCAGAAGTCGGGGTGCGGTGGGCGCTCCCAGGGCCTGCGGGCCGGCGGTCTGTGGGCGGCAGGGCCCCCGGACAGCTCCCACGCTGGCCGCCCCCTTACCTTGCCCGTATGTGCGGCCTGCCCCCAGGGGAGCGGCCGTTCCCCTGCACGCTGTGCGAGAAGGCCTTCAACCAGAAGAGCGCGCTGCAGGTGCACGTGAAGAAGCACACGGGCGAGCGGCCGTACCGCTGTGAGCACTGCGCCATGGGCTTCACGCAGAAGAGCAACATGAAGCTGCACGTGAAGCGGGCGCACAGCTACGCCGGTGAGCGCGGCGCGCGGCCTGCCCGGGTGGTCGGTGCCCGGGGTCCCCGGCTCTCCGCACCCTGCTTCCCCGAGTGGCCCACTGCTGCCTCGCGCACACTGGGAAGGCCGGTCGTCAGGAGGAAGGGGTGCTGGTCGGGGTCATGGGGCTTTCTGAGGAAGAGGAAGGCTGTCGCAACATCTCTGCTCCCGCGCTGCCTGCTGCCCCTTCTGTGGGAAGCCGGCGGGTTGTTCTCAGGGTTGGTGTCAGCCCCCCGTCACCGGCAGGTGTGCCAGCCGTGGCAGGAGTGAGGACGCGAGGGCACAGTCCTCCCCCACAGAACTGTGAACCGCCGCTCGAGTCACCCTTTCCCATGGGGACGGAGCACGTCGGTTTAGCTTCTCGTCTCTGTTTACATGTGCGTGGTTTCGCGCCACGGGTGTCTGAGCCCCTGCTCTCATGTCTGCACCGCAGGGACGCTGCAGGAGGCCGCTGGCCAGCAGGAGCAGGTGGGGGAGGAGCTGAGCCACACGCTGCACCTGGAGGAGGTGGTACAGGACACCGCCAGCGAGTGGCAGGCGCTGGCCAACGTGTTCTGACGCGCGACCCGCGGGTGTCTCTGAAGTTGACTGTCACGCGGGACAAAGCACTGGGAACTCCTGCTTTTAAGTTTCAGGCGTTGAAATGTTACCACAGTAGTTCTTAGCTATAAAACCATCTGAAGAATCACTGTCTTTCAGAGGCTTCCAGGAGCGACCTGGGGAGTGCACCTGCCTCGGCCCGTCACCCGCGGGCAGCGCCTCCGGGTAGACAGGCCGCTGGCTCTCCCTGACCTCACAGTGAGTCCTTCGTGTTAGCGGAGGCAGAGGTGACACGCAGCGAGTCACGTCGGCTTCCTTCAGCTCTGTCATGAGACGCGCAGCGTACGAAACGAACATGAGACAGCACGAGGTTCAGACAAGGGTTAGAACGCGCAGGGAAGTCTTTGCCACGTTTCCCTCTGCACGTTTCAAAATGAGTACAAATTGACTCTTTAGTCTGCAGTAAGTTAGGAGGACAAAAACCTTGAGAGATGGCTGGACCGATTCTCTCCCCGTCGCAAAGACCTAATCGTTGGAAGGCCGTGCGTCTGGGGCGCAGACACGGGGACCGAGGGGACTGACGGGGACGGGGACGGGGCGACACGCTCACGGCAGGAAGCACAAGGCACATGCTGCAGAGGCCCCGCGGCCCGGCCGGCCGGTCAGAGCGGTGGCTGTGGCTGAGGGACAGGAGCCCCTCCGGGCCCCGGGACCCCCTCCTCGTGCATGGGGGCGTGAGCTTTATTTCAGGGAGTTCTCTAGTATCATCAATGGTGCCACGTTCAGCGTCCCAAACCGGCCCGCCCCGAGCCGGCGGGCGCATGTGTCCCGCAGCATTCCAAAGATGGAAAGTTCTCTGTCCATGCGAATCCCCCTCGAAGTTATTTATATGTTCTATATATAAGTGCGTATGTACATACACAGATTTATGGGCCTCTGTGTGGCTGATCAGTATATTTTGTAAATACAGGCGCCCGTCCGGATCACAGAGAGAGCGGCAGGGTCCTCACCGCCCTGGCAGCGCTTCCGATCAGTATTGTGTTCATTTTACTAATAAATGGGTATCTCTTTCATTGTAACATAAAGCTGGGTTTTCGTTTCTGTTTTCGTTTCTTGAAAAATAATTGCCTTTATTTTCTCTCCTCGCCTCCCTGGTTCCGTCAGGAGCGGTTTTATTATAAATATTGTATGGACTTGTATATTAAGAGGGACTCACTTCGGATTCCTGAACAAAGAGACATTTCACTGTTATATTTCGCAAGGGCATCTTTTGACTTTTCTGTTCCTGTCCCCTTTTGGATGTGTATATAAGTAATATTGATGGTGACATAAAAACTTTTGTTATGTGAAAATATTTAAGTCAGAAAACTGTTAAATAATATTACTTTTTTTCAAACTGCTTTGTGTATTGTATATTTTTTTAAGGGAAAAAAAGCCTTATTTGACTCATTCTTGTGATGCTGGACTTACTATATCCTGAGGTTTTCCTGAATGTCAGCATGTATACCTGGCTGTCGTCAGTGTACTCAGATTAATTGTAATTTTGCCAGAGTTTTAAAGGTTCTGCTTTTAATGCACTTTCTTTTATAATTTTGTATTAAAATATTTTAGAAATGTTGATTAATTTTGGTGAACAGATATCCCCAAAGTTGCCATTATTGGAATTTTAAAAATTTTATTCTTGCTAGTTTATTTATTTTGGTGTCAGCATTAAATGCCATCTCAGGACAGTCTCGAAACGGGGTTTGTTTAATTCCTAGTTGTACAGAACGCGTAGTCACTGAGCCACGTTGGTGAGCTCCTGCTGGAGCAAGGCCAGGCCTTCGCAGGGGACCCGAAAGCCCACTTTTATTTTGGTTATGGAAGAAGAAATCTTACTGATGATCCGCTTTGTGAGCTTTCTCAATTTATCAGCAGGCAAACAGGAGATGTCACTGTATTATTTGGATTTACTTCCTAGTTGTAAAAACTGCTGCTTTGCTGGTGTTTGGTGACAAGCCGTGGCCCGTGAGGACGTGGCCCCTCTTGGCCCTCAGGGGGAGGACAGGCCGCGCTCTGTATTTCAGTGGCTGGTCAACAGTCTCGTGACGAGAGATTTCTAGCCGCCTGCATAACCAGGATTTTGAGGATAGATAACTGTATTTTTAGAAATATCTTAGCCTATCTGTTTTGGAATAACAATAAATAAAAAATGAAGTTAGGAAGTGTGATTTTTTTTTTTTCTTTGAAAATATTTACTATAAGACAGTTTGGCACATGAACAACTTCGAGTTGAGGACGTTAACGCAGAGTCTGTTCGAAGAGCTTCGAACCTCGAAACTCAGGACGTGGCCCTGTGACGGCACGGTTGGCCCCCAGCTGTCTCCCTTGGGGGCTGGGTCACACAGCGCCCTGGCCGTTTGGTGCCTTCGAAAGGCTCCGCCTTTGGGCCCCTTCCGGGATGAGGTGGCTGCAGCACCGCGGCTGGAGGGCGAGCTCCCTGTGCACGGGGCCGCGTCTGGTGGCTTGGGTGGCGGGGACACCAGCCCTCGGGCAGAGTGGGCACGGGCGTGTCCTGGGGCGGCGTGGGCCAGGCCAGTGTCTCTCCAGAGATGGCACCCCACATGCCTCGCCCCGCTCACGGGTGCTGCTGCAGGTGTGGGTAGCAGACCTCACGCCGGGAACCGGCCGGCGGCCTGGCGGTCCAGCTCCTCAGATGGCCCCTGTGCTCCGACCTTGTGTTCCCGAGGGGACGTGGTGACCTGTGCCCGTGAGGCCCTTCCCTTGTTCCTGTGGAGAGATTTCAGTTTCTCCGCTGGGCATTCGACCAGGGCGGGTTTCTCTAGGACAGTGCTCTGTACGCCGCCCCCCCCACCCCCAAATGTGTCATTTTAAGAAAATTACATTGATTTACTTCCTAATTATAAAATACGGCGCTTTGCAAAACATTCCTTGAGAGGACGAGGATCTGCGAAGACCTTTTTTCTGGGTTCGAGTGTCACAGTTGGACCAGCGTCCCTGACCTCCGCACCCTCACGCCTCGCGCGCGGGCGGAGCTCACGGTGGCACCCGTGCAGGCCCCACGCAGGGGAAGCGGATTTCCGTCCTTTACGTGCCTTCCCGCTGTGCGGGGCAGCGTCTGTAGCTCGTGCACACGCGTGCGACACGGTGATCGTCGGTCAGATGTAGCTGAGCGACACGCTTTTAAGAGAATGTGCTAAGACGGAGAACCGCTTTCCTGTGGGCATCTCCGCTATGTGCTCTTTGCATATTTCTCCCGCAGAAGTTTATTTCCAAGTCAATGCTGTGCACCCTCCCCACCCCCAACAATAAGTCAATGCGAAGGTTGGTCGTTGCTGATGAACGGATGCTTTTTCTAAGTCCCTGTTGTCCAAAGTCAGGCGGAGACGAAGTTGCACAGTTGACGCCCCTGAATCTGGGTGCCCTCTCGTCGCCCAGTCTCTGTCCGTGGGCTGTAGGTGTCGCGGGGGTTCTCAGAATTTCAGAAGTGCCTACGGACAGCTTTGGGGGTTCTGTATCTTTACCGTATTGCCGTGAAACTTAACATTTACAAGTCTAGTTGCCTCTCCGTCGTTTAAAAAGCGGGAGCAGTCGAGACTCTTGTGGGGTTAGAATCCCGCATGTCCCCAGGAAGGGCAACTCCATCTGCTCGGCACTCGGCCCCCTGCTCAGCCACACACAGGCGCCGACGGGGCCACACCCACTCACCCCCTCACACACGCACGGCCTGCACGCCGAGGCGCCACGGTCACTCCCTGCACGGCGACTGCTCAAATATTCAAGCCCTAAAAAGTGAAGGCTGCCCGCACGAATGCCGCGGTGGGCGGTAAACAGCAGATTCCGCTGTTATCTCCCCCGTGATGCCTGCAGCGTGGAGACGTGTATGCGAAACCAAGATCTGACATCTGACAAATTCTAAAATGACAGCGGTTCATTCCTGATTTGCCACTAAAGAAAATTTTTAACTTTTTTATTTACAGAAGATCTTTTTTTGAATCTTTAAAACCGTTTCATGTTCTGTTTCTACATTGGATGATATTTATTTCATCCAGTTTTGTATTCGAAACGGATAGTTATGCTAAAAGCCACTGCTGGCTTTAAGAATAATAAAAAACAGTTTCTGTGTTCTTTTAAAGCTCCCGTATATTTGTCTATTTGGGCTCTGGGTGTGTTACAACCGCTCAAAGATAGACATTTTTTCTAGGTGACGTTTCAGCATGGGTTAGCACACGGTGGTGCTGCGTTTGCAATAAATTCAGATCCACGGGGTTTGGATAGTGTGAGGATTTCTTATTTTCTACCCTTGAGCAGATTTTACACTTGCTCTCGTTTGTAAGGTATTCGCGAGTGACTTGAAATGAAGGCCAATCACAAAACCCATTTATCTGTTCACGAGATTTGTGGGGCATTGGCTTTCCCAGAAATGCAACGGAGTGAGTTTATATTTTCAACCTTTCACAAGTTGGTAGTTTAGAGAGTCGTCATCCTGTCGAAATAACAGGTGAAGGACACCTTCTTTCTTAGTTCACTTTTGTCTCTGTCACAGCCTCGGAGCTCCATGCACTTTTGGGCTGAAAGAGCTAAAGCGATGTGGCTTTTCCGGGAACGGTCCGCCGGTTCCCCGTCTGGCGGCCGGTTTGTTCGTAGCGGGCATACTGCTTGAATCTTTTTAAACGTGGTGGGTTGAAGAAGGGTTTGTTTGTTCTGTTTGTTTTTTAATTTTCAGACGATAGCCTCGAATATTAAAAGTGCTTCCCAGGATGGATTCTCCCAGGACGCCCAGCTCTCTTACGATGTGCGTGTTCGGGTTTAAACACAAAGCTGTCAGTTTGCCTAGTGTCGTGTGTGTAGCAAAGCTGAGACTTGGGGTGGCTGGGGACGTCGGGTCAGCTTAGCCCTGGCCCCGACCATTTGTAACATGTAATCATCCTGGCATGGTTTTCCTGATTCCTCAGCCCGAAGGGTTTTGGGTAGAGAAGCGAAGAGGGAGCGGGGGTTGGCATCAGCTCAAGGGCCACTGGCCCATTGGTGCGGCCGCCTGCTGCCGAGCGTGGCCAGCTCCTGTGCCGTCGGACGGGCACGCGGCACCCTGGGGTCTGGGGCCCTGCGGGAGCGGGCTGGTGTCATCCTACCATTGTCCCAGACGAGCCTGCCCCTGCGACGTTTCACCGGCTCAGCCAGTTTGTCACAGCTGGAACTGAGGCAAAGTGAAACAAAATGACGTCCTTTGATCTTTTTGAAAGAGAATTTTTATAACCAAAAGCAGCTAAAAGCCAACATTTTGTTTGGGAACAAAATTTTCCCAAATCACTTGTCACTGTCTCCGCCAGATGAAACGTGGCCGAAGGCAACTTCAGAGACCCTTCCGCTCCCCTCGGCAGGGCGTGTGTCCTTTGAAACCGCGGAAAGGTACCGGGAGCACCTTTTCCCGCGAGGTAGCATCGGCCCTGAGCCGACCCCGTCCGCCTCCTCCACCAGCCCCAAAACGCGGGCCGGAGTAACAATGAGACGCGTGCACGTGTCGCCAAAAGTTTATTGTTTATTCACTGTTCCAGAACTGGGGGTGCTGTCCGCGAGCCCCGTGGTCGCAGAGCCCCCGTAGAGCTCGCGGGGTCCGCGTCGGCGGCTCGGGGGCTTCGTTTCCGAAATGTCCCTTACAGCCTCATCACCGAGGCTGCGTGTGCATTAACGTGTGAAGCCCACGCTCGGCGTTCGGAGTTAGAGGGGGTTAGCGGGCGCGCGGGGTTACGTGGGCTGCTCCTCGTCCTCGTCCTCGGGAGCACCTGCCCGTGCGGGCTCTTTGGAAGGTGATAAGGACCGAAGGACGCTGGGCTCAAGGTGCAGTCAGTACGTTATGGAGGGGCACGGGGGTGTCAGTTCGCGTTAGGGGGGACTTAGCTAAGGACAACACTCTCTCCTCCGGGCTGGCCAGGCCCAGCCACGCTCTAGGTCAGGGACGGGGACGAGGACAGGCAGGGGGACAGGCAGGGGCCACGGCAGGCCCCTAACTAAGCCTAGTCACTCAGCGGTTACTTAGGGAGGGGGCAGACGGAGGTTAGTGTTGGCAATGTGCACTGCCGTGATGAGTGTGCTGCCGGTCACCCTCGGCTCCCACCGGGACCAGTGTGACACTGCGTGGCCACCCAGAAGACCCCTGCAGTCCCGCTGTCCGTGCAGCCCCCCCGAGCTCGGCAGCTCCGGGGAGTGGAACCAGGTGGCGCGCGGAGCTCGCTCCGGCTCCTGCTGCGCTGTCATCCGGTTTCCAACGAGATCCCGTGTCCTGCTCGAGGCCACCACCCGGCCCTTCTGCCTCCTGTCCCCTCTGCCACGCTCCAGCTCAGCCAGTCGGGTGTGGGCACAGCCCAGCAGCCCGTGCGCCCACCGTCGCTCCGTCTCAGCTGCCCGCCCGCCTCT